AAAATTGATAAGTTCTAAATGTGGCCTAATTACTATTCAATATCCTAACTGGTTTGCCGACCGGGATCGATGGGGTAACTCTTGAAAAACAGTTAGCGTCTGCATAGCTACGTTAAGGATTATGCCGATACCTTCTTTGATAATTGGTGCCATCCCTACCATAGAGGTTGCGGATCCAGGTGGCCGTGTCGAATTTACGGGCTTGTAGCGCTCTGAATAGAGTTGTTCGCTGCTTTATTACAGTAGACTTGTCATGCACTACATGTTGCTTTTCTGCATATTATAGTGCACTAACGAATCTCCTTCATTTCTGGTCGTAGGAGCTTACACTTATTGTTGGTCTTTTTGATTCTGCTCGTATATGACATTTAGTGCATATGATGGTCCTCCATGACGGTCCTGTAGATGGTTGCACTGCTACAATTGACTCATATTTGTTTGTGGAAATTAGTGCATTTGATCAGCACTGTAATTGTTATTGATTGTAGGAGTGTCTAGCACTCATTAATTATCTCTGGTCCAACACTCATAGGCTTGTTGTGTTCATATGTAAGTTAACACTGATCATCAGGTGAATCGCATTCATCGCCAACTCTTCCCTGCCTATTGATTGACAAATTGTTGCATCGCCTCATCAGGTGAACACATTCATAAGTCCTGCATCCATGAGTTCAATCAGTCCAGGTTCTTAAATGGTTCCAAGTCGCTTGTCTTATTTCAGATAAAATTTTGGCAACCTCCCGGCGTCTCCCCTGTTTAGGAAAAAAAAAACTAAGAGGCCGCCTACCCGCCAGACGTCAATAACGATGTGCACGGTTAGTGTTTGTGAGACACCCGACGCGGAATTTTTTTATCCACCACGCAACAAAGGCGTGCATGGGATTTTAAAAAGCAATTTTTTGAAAAAGCAGATTTTTGACCAGGTTACCTGTTTAAAAAGACAGTTTGCTTTCCCCCCGCTCGGGCGTGGTACTTATGAGTGACCCCGCCTTGCCGTAGGTGCCGCACCGGGTCTCTTCCACCACACGCTAGTAAAGGTGTGCATGGGCGGTTTTCCGGTCCGCCACGAACATTGAAGTAAGGTTTTGAATTTTAGAAATATTCGTACCTTCGCGGGGTTGGTGACACGTGGGTCGAGGGGTCACTCGCTTATCTCGTCATAGGTGTCGCCACCAAGTTCCCTCAAACCACGCTCAACAAAGGTGTGCATTATGTGGTTTGGCCGGCTCCGACACGCACGACGAGGTAGAGAGGATTCTCTTTAATTAATTATATATAATTAAAATTAATAAAATAATTAATTAAATTTAAAAATAATTAAATATAATTATAATAATTAACAAATTTAATATATAAATGATGATAATTAATTTAAATTAAAAGTTAATTATAATTAATTTAATATATTATGATTAATATATTATCATTAAAATTAACCATAATAATTATAAATTAATCATAATACATTTTTAATTAAAAAATTATTATTTTATAATAATTAATTATATAGTTAAAATAATTTATAAATAATTATAATTAATTATAATTAATGTTATTAAAAATAACTAAATATAATTAAATAATAATAATAATATTGATATTAATATTAATAAATTTATTGTATTATTATATATATCATTAATAGTATTCTTAATAATGATAATAATAATAACATTGTAATAGTAATATAATTGTAATATTAATATTAATACTAATATAATTTAATATCAATAGTAGTAACAAAATAAATATATACATATAACATACTTAAGAGAGGGATTAGCCTCTTTGCTCGGCTTGCAAGCAAGAGACCCCGTCGGCTAAAGATAGAGGAGGGGTCGGTCGAGGGGCTGGATGAGGCTCGGGCGCAGGAGATAAGGGCCGGAGATTGAAGCTTGGTTGGGGCTTGGAGTCGGAAGGAGCTAGGGAAGTCAGCTTGGATAAGATGTAGGGAGAAGGAGGTGGGTTCGGCTAGGGATAGAGGAGCTCGGGAAGGGGGAGGGTTTCGGTTTGGTGAGGTTTGGTGAGGTTCGGCCAGACGCAGGAGGGTCGAAGGGAGAAGAATAGGGAGAGGCCGGTTTGTACTTGTAGAGGTAGGGATCTTTCTCTCTCTCTCTCTCTCTCTCTCTCTATATATATATATATATATCTCTGTTTCTCTCTGTCCGTGGGTTCGGAAGAGGTAGAGGGAGGAGCAAGGAGGCTTTGGAGCTTGCAGTGGGAGCCGGGCTCAGAGGTTGATCGACCGTGAAGGTCGTGGGTTGGGATCTCTGTAGAGAGCAAGAGGAGATCGGAAAAAGGTTGGAGTCTGCGGATGGAAGTGGGGGGAAGCCGAAGCCTCTTCGGCCTCTATTTATCGACGCTGAGAGGAGTGGAATCAAGGCGAGCCCATGCGCGAATGGACATTTTCGGCGCCGTTGCAGACTGCGGCACGGTAGCAAACGGCAGTGTCTGAGCTGGATTTGCGCAGGATATGGGCTCAGGCATGAGCTTAACCTCTTTTTTTGTTATCATATTACAGAAGTCAACAAATATATTCAATTCAAATGTAGTGGTGATATAAAGAGGATTATGTACAAGAAACGGCAATATTTTAGTTAGGCATATTATTTATATTTACTCAATGGCTTAACATATGTATCATTAATCAAGTAATCACCACATGTACACGAAAGCATATAAAAGTGAAGTAAACTTGGCACTATAATCCCCACTAATGCTACCATCAAAACTACTTTGTTTCACTCCACGTGTAGGTGGAGAATTTCTCTTACTCCAATTTCCTCCTGATTGGGTAATGGAGATACACCCTTAAACTTTTATTTCAAAGCAAGAAACAAGATATTCCTAGTCTTCTCCAATAGGTCATAACCTTCACTTTTTCAAGGTGAGAAACCTACTACTAATAGCCCTCTCTTTAGATCATAATATTCCTACTTTAAGGTGATGAACCTATCACTCTTAGCCCGCCTAGCTAGATAATGAAAATTATGTTTAAAACCAAATTAAATATCTCATGAGCCTTGGAAGTGACTCAATTGTTATTTCCTATAAATATGTCTTAGATATTTCCTTACAAACCTTAATTGCAAAATGAGTATAAGAAGATCAATCAAACATAATACAATCTCTAAAAAAATTACGTAAGAAATATTTTATAAATAACCAAAGAAGATTTATGATTGATGATGAATACTTTTTACCTTTCTCCAACTTTTCTTTAAAAGATCTAATAACATTAGCTCATATTTTGTTGATTTTTGCATTAGTTGTTTTACTTGTGAATTTCTTATATTTTTATAGCCATTAGCACTATTAAAATTTTTGTCAACTAGCATGTAGGCATTAAGCTTATCTTAATTAAGCTTTGATAGCTATGATACTTTATAAATCATTCATAATCATCAAATTTGAGCATATCATATAGTATGAAATACATCATACTGTCGGCTATTGTAGTGCAAGATTTATATTGTACTGTATGACTTCAATAAGTCAATATTTTACTTTAGACTTTCAATGAGTAATTTAAAAGCTATTTTTTTAATTAGATTGTACTGTACAATTATCAATTGTTTTTCCCAATTAATTGTATAATTTTGATAGTACTCTACAATTTTGCATTGTGTCTTATTATCAACTATACTATTGGCCAATGCTTATAATCTATGAAAATATATTTTATATCGCTCAATGTATTTTAATAATCAAGTTATCATATTTAATGATATTCTAAAATAATTTTATCTATTTACATAATATAAATGATATTAAAAATAAATTTTATATAATTTTTTATTGATAAAACTATTTTAGCACATTGTAATTAATTTTTTATCTCTCTTTGGCATACTTTGTAAAAATGATCATAAATATCTTTACCATAGTAGCTAGTCCTTCGAGGCTATGCTTGATGACTTGCACATTGCAATCTTTAAATTCAATCTTTTTGTTTTTTTTTTCAAGTAAACAAATCTCCAAACTGATGATGGCTTTGGTACTATATTATAGGCAAAGAGAAGAAAGAAATGGGGATAATATAGAGAGAGACTATTGCATTTCTTATTCTTGAGGTAGTAATGAGACAAAATAAATAGGAGATACACGACTCAATTAGAGGATTTAGAATATAAAGAAATGAAATTGACTAAAAATGAAAAAAAAGAGGAAAAAATAGTAATTATGCAATCAGGTATTTAAATTCATAATATTATTATTCTCCACATGTAAATAGAATAGGAGAAATGAGGGATATGATTTGAATCAAGGACTTGATTTTCAAACTCTAGATCTGTATATTTCCATCTAGGAGGGAGTTGGCTAGGAGAGTATTTCCATAATAGAATTCTGGACTGAAAGCGGGAGGATTACCAGAATTGCTAGTGTAGCCGACCATCTTGGAGCTTGCCCAGAATAGATTCTGGAATGACAGACAATATCTCGTCTCTTCCATCTTTGCTTTTTGGTTCATTCGGTAGCTAATAAACGCATGCATGATTTTCACAAAATACAGGTTATTTTCTTATCAATCTTGCTCTCTCTACACTTCTCAATAATTGATTGCTCGCCAACACTCAATTCTCCTGACCTACTTATTTTTCTTTTCATTCCTCGAATTGTTTTTTTTTTGTTAATATTTTTCTCCCATATGATAAACTCTTTAGCCATTATATCCTTGTGTATTTACATACTATATATATTTTTCTCCCGACCTACTTTGAAGGCTATTTTAGGCTCAACAGAGCCCAAATGCTTTGCTTGACAAATACTATGAAGTTTTGCGAAAGCTGGCCTTCTCTGTAGTACATCAATCATCTGATTTTTGTCAAACATACATCAGCATGCTTAATTGTGCTAATCATTTAGGCCCCTTAATAGTGATTATTCTCCCCTTTATTTGTTTGATTGCACATATGATGTTATAATTGCACCATTTAAATTTTGTTGTGGTTGCTATTGAATGAAACTTAACATTTATTTTATTTTTTTAATGCATTCAGGGAGCGCAGAGCCATTATCATGGGCTATAAGAATCAAAGTTGCGCTGGGAGCTGCCAGAGGACTCTCTTTTTTACATAACGCTGAATCACAAGTTATATATCGAGATGTGAAGGCTTCAAACATTCTCCTTGATTCAGTATGCTTTGTAGCAAGTGTTCAGATTCTTTTTCGCTGATCATTCTCAAGTATTCTACTTTGGATGCCTAATTCTTTAAATGCAGGAATATAATCCGAAGCTTTCTGATTTTGGCTTGGCAAAAGCTGGCCCGACGGGGGATAGGACTCATGTCTCCACACAAGTTATGGGCACACAAGGATATGCAGCTCCTGAATATATTGCAACAGGTTTAGTTCACGTGTGGCAAATATATGCACTTTAATAGGTTTTTTATTATTATGCTGAGATTCAGTTTCTTTTTTTTTTCTTGAATTGAATAGGAACTTTTGGTTGAGGTCCTGTTTTTGTTCAAAACCGTTGTTGTTGGCTGTTTCAAGCCTGTTTTTAAAAACTTGAGAGTTGATGTTATCTTGGCAGTCAATCTTAACATCTATATCAAAATCCAATTGAATAGATACTTGATGTTTGCTAGCGTCTGGGCATTCCCCAAAGCCAACGAACCAAGTCCTAACTTTAGTGGTGTAAGAAATGTGCAAGATTTGTCTAGATTTTCACTCTTAAATAATTTCTATATTTTATCCAATCATGATTAGAAGTAGATTGAATGTGGTAGAATTAAAAATGTTAATATTAATGTGTTAAAAGTATGAATGTTGGACGAAGATTGACTCTTTTTTTTTTAGACAGATGCTGTTAACATTTGCATATAAGATAATTGAATATAAAAAGTGATTTGGGAAGGAATATTTGCATAATGATATGGGTATGTGTATATTAGGGGTGTCAAAACAGGTCAACGAGTTGGGTTCGGGTTCGACTCAAAATTGACTCGACTCAAATCTGGTTAACTTAAACTCGACCTGTTTAATAAACGGGTCAATAAATTGAACCCGAACCCAAACTCGACCGTGAGCAACCTGAAAATAACATGATAACCTATTTTAATTAAAAAATATTTTTAGTAGTTTATTAAACATAGATTTTAAGTTAATTGATAAAAAATAAGAAGATTATTATAAAAAATAAAATAATTTAAGAAAAAAAAAAATAAACGAGTCATTTTTGGGTTCCCAAACATGACCCTTTTTTTAAACGGGTAACCCAAATTGAATTTTTCTAATAGGTTCAGGTGCGGTTATTTATTCGGCAAATTATTGGTTCAGGTGACCGAACCCATCTCTGCGTTCGGTCGCCAATAGAAAGACGACATCTGTCAGGCATTTTTTTAATTTAATATCTTTGCTTTATGTCTTGTCAGCCCGAGCGACCCGACCCGGTAACCCAATTTATTTGAATTCCGGAAAATAAAGAATGGAAACGCCGCGTATTTTCTTTTCAAGCGACATTTTCACTGCTACTCCAGCTCTGGTAAGCTCTCTCGGATTCCTCCAATACCTTCGGTTATGCATTATCTTCTTCCCGCCGGAGGTAGACGACGAGATTGTAGAAGATCATCATTCAGAAAGAGGTATGGTTGCGCCTAACTTGCGCTTTTGTTGCGTTTAAGTTATATGTTAAAATTTAAGGTTTAGTTATAATTTTACCATTGTTTGTTTAATCTAATGTTCAAATGTTTATTTTCTGAATTTCAAGTTTCTCTTCGTAAATGGATTAAACAAATGATACGAAAGGTTTACGCTTTATGCTAAATTTTAGGGTTTAGTAATAATTTTATAACTAGCATTTATGTTCAATGTGATGTTCAAATATTTTTTTTTTCTGAATTTCAACCTTCTTCGTAATTGGAAGAGACAAATGAAGCAAAATAATTACAAAATTTATAGTTGCGCTTCAGTTGCGCTTTAGTTGCGCTTTTATCTGGATTTTTTTTATTTTTACAGATGAAGATGCCGTATCAAAGGTCAGTAACATCTAGATGCTATGTTACCACTTTTCAAAAATATTGTGATGCTTTTGTCGTGATTATTGATGATGTAGTTGAGCAGACGTTAAAGAATCTGAACATTCATCAATTTTTAAAGTTCCCCGCATTATAACAGTGTATACCACTTTTTTTTGAGGTTCTAAAATTTTGGAGTCCTGCTGATGAAGGCTTCATCGTCCTTGGTCATTTACTAAAATTTACTTCTGACGAGGTTGCCTTGTTGATAGGTAATATTTTGAACATAAAAATTTTTTATACGGATATGTTTTTTTAACTTTAACAATTGAAATTTTCTGACAGGTTTGCCTAACAGAGGCATTGATATCAAATGGATGATTGATCCTCTAAATGGACCTCTAACAACTGAAATTAAAATAGAAATATTAAAATTAGACAGATTAACTGATAATGCTACAAAATTAAAGACCTTTATTATGTTTTTGTTATCTAACATTTTCTTTCCACTAAACAATCATAAAACCCCTAGAAGGCTCACATCTGTTGCAAGTAATTTAATTGAGTTCACTTCTATTAATTGGGCTTCATGCATAAGAAACTTCATGGTCGGGGAATTCAACACAATTTTTGAGAAGTTTTAAATGCAAAGACCATTGGGTTACATCAATGGATTTTTTCCTCTTCTACTGGTAAGTTTCCACTCCTACTGATTATTCTCCATCCATAATGCTTTTTAATGTTAACTTTTAATATTTTATGTTTAGCATTATACAGATTTGATTTTTGGAACACTTTTCTTTGAATAAACTATCCGATCCAGAACTAAGACCGCGTTTTCTGAGATGGGAGGGGTATACTGAATTATACTTTACTCAAGAGATTGCTGCAAAATTATTTAAATTTTTAAAGAAAAATGAGATAATTTTAACGTATAAATGATGCAAATTATTTATGGTTGCGCTTTATGAAAATAATACATTTTTTGTTTTTGCATATTTATTTTTGTCTTGAGAATGTTAGTAATGAAGAAGCCGAAAAATACGGGGCTGACATTAGTGCTATACAAAACCTGGAAACCCGGCCAGGGCATGTACCCCAGAAAATTCAGTCACCCCAGAAAATTATGTTATATCCAACTGTTTAAAAACCCTCAAACAATGAGAACACAACAATCCCATATGGCTAAATTTTTTTAGAATTAAGCAAGTAACCTGAATAAAAAACTTTTCGAGCTCTTACTGACCAACGAAGTAATAAGTACTTCTCAGGGAATTTAGCCATATCCAACTGTTTAAAAACCCTCAAACAATGAGAATACAACAATCCCATGGTTTCATACTTCTTACAACTGCATTGAATGTTATCTTCTGGTGCATCAAAGTGAACAACCCAAGGATGGTTTTGATTTTTTTTTCTCTATGTAGTTGACTAGAAACTTTGAAGAATCAGTCGAGATAAAATCTATACTCATTTCTCCCGTAGCATTTATAAATTCTTCCTAAAAAATTGAATATATTTTTATTGAGTAAAATCTAGCAGCTTGTTTTAATATTGAGTTGTTCTTTATCACGAGAACAATTTCAGATTGACTGCATTTGTAATCCTCATCCTGCTCATTTCGCCGCCAATTCATCAGTACCTTTTCCAACCCAAGAAAATAATCAATTAATGAACTTGTTGGCTTAGAAATGTCATGACACATATTATTAGTACACTCACTACGCTGCGTTGATAAAATGCTCATGCAAAAACAATCCTTGTTGAAAGCAGTTGACCATTTTCTCATTATCTTATAAAGATCCTGCAACCATTCATGGTTATGAAGATTCCCTTCCTTGATCATTTTATCCCATGCTTCCTCAAACACTTCCTCAGAATCACACTACCTCATACACTTATAGAAGAGTCCTCTAACTTTATTATTGCTATTGTAGATGGAAACTTTTGATGGAACCTTTTTAAAGATGTGCCATTGGCATAATCTATGACGATTGTGAGGTAATGCAACTTCTATGGCCCTTGTCATAGCTTGGTCCTAATCAGTGAATATTGTTGTTGGATATTTATTACCCATTATTCGTACAAATATTTTAAACAACAATGTAAAAATTTCAATTGTTTCTTCTGACAAAAAAGCAACCCCAAACAAAATATTTTACCAATGATTGTTAACACCAACAAATGACGCACAAACAAAATTATACTTGTTCAGCCTGTAACTAGTATAAAAAATCAACACATCTCTAAAACATTCATAATCTATCCTGCTTATGCCATTAACCCAGAAAAAATTTAACAATCGATCCTGATCATCATATTGAACATCCCATGCGAACATGTGGTCCTCAACTTGTCGATCTTTAAATAATTGAATCAAAGAATTAGTGTCACCAATTTCAATCCTTGCTCTTTTCTCCTTCTGAATAAAATTGTAGGCATCCCTCTTAGAGAATCCGACATTCTCACATCCACCAACTTCCTCTGCAAGGTAGGCATATGCATCAACGGTTCTAATCCCTGCATCTGTCATCGATTTTAGGACGAAAGCTTTTTCCTCAACAACATTCCTACATAATCTCAAAAGGTGTCTGTCGGCTGGGCTAGCTAATTCATGGTTGTGGGATTCAATAAATCTTTTGACATGCCAGTAACCATATTCATCTGTGACAAACCTCACCATAGCTAGACAACTAGTTCTAACATCTGGTCTAGTGAATCTCTTTCTTGAATTAAGATCATTACTTTTCTTGAAACCAGCTTTTGAACAAACAAAGTCCTTTGATTTTATCTTCTTAGAATTTGGCCAAAAACTGTGATGATCCTTTCGGACGCTAAAGTCATTATCGTGAGCATAAGTGCAAAAACATTCATATGCTTCTGTCTTATCTTTATAAACAGCCTGAAATGTTAAAGAGCAATTAAAACGCAAGTAAAGCGCAAGTAAAACGCAACTAAAGCGCAAGTGAAGCGCAAGTAAAGCGCAATTAAATATCAAACAAGTTCTGTTTTTTTATCATCTTCATCCTAAAAACAATAATGAAAGCTAAGCAACAACATTAGAGCTTTTTTTTACTTTTCCGGCAAAAAAAATTTATTCTTCCTAAATATCTCAAAATCTAAGATCCTAAGACTCTAATGAGCTGAAACCTACGCCTTTTTTTTGCGGCGATGAGATTAAAACTGACTGTTTACGACTTTCTAACTCGTTTTTCCAAGAAACTTGCCGATATGTTGAAACCAGAGGAATTTCTAGCTAAGTTAGGTTCCGATTTCGATTCATGCATCCTTTCCGATTCATGCACTCCCTCTTCCATGCCCTCTTCCACCTCCCTCTTCGCTGAGCAGTCCATTTCTTCTCTGCAATTTTCTGGCTCGTTTTTTCTTCTACAGCAGTAGATATTTACATCTTTCGCGGGTTTCAAATTGCAAAAAAAGGGCGGCAAATGCTTAAAAATTCACCTAAACTGGGTTACCGGGTCGGGTCGCTCGGGCTGATAAGACATAAAGCAAAGATATTAAATTAAAAAAATGCCTGACAGATGTCGTCTTTCTATTGGCGACCGAACGCAGAGATGGGTTCGGTCACCTGACCCAATAATTTGCCTATTTATTGACATTGATATGTATATGTGAAGAATAATAAGGAAGAAAAGGGTTAGATTTATGATGCAGCAACACTTCAATGCTATTTTCACAACACCACGTATTTAATACGTGTCATAAACATGGCCAACGCGCTTGATTATAAAAGAAATAAATAAATAAATCACATATATTGAATATGCATGTCATGATTAAGTGAAGGGGAATTTATATACATACCATTTTATATCATGTTATTTACATTATCTAACAATCAAGACTTCAATATTTCATACCTACCACCCATAAATCAAATATGGGTGCAAGGAATGAAATATAAAAGTTTATAGGGTGGTATGAGGTGGTAGAAATGAAATATAGGAATAACATATACATATTTGATAATAAAGTTGTCTATAGGTGGTGGGAATAAAATATTTAAATATTGGATGTTAAATATGTTAATAATATGATATAAAACGACCTGTATGTAAATTCCCCTTAAGTGAAATAGCAATGATTGAATGAAATGACGAAACTGTGAAAGAGTCGAAGAATACAAGACGTGGCTTTTAATTTTCAAAGAGAGAACTAAAACATGCCTTCAATAATTAATTATTTATATTGCCTGTTTTTCATAAAGTTTATTTTTTGTTTCCTTTATAGAATAAAAGTTATCATCATATGAATTAGATTGTATGCATATATATAAGTATATGTGTCTAATATGTGTTTGCATTCTATACTTTGAAAGTAAATGTGTTCCTCATTAAGATCTTCATATCAATATGAGTGCATCCTAGATTTGCGCCAAGTATAATATATAGCTAAATTGTACAAAACTAGCAAAACTAGAGAGACAAACATTTATGTGACACTATAAGAAATGGAGGAGGATTTATTAACCCAATCCCAAATAGTTGGGATATTACAAATGATATTGATGATAGTAGACTTTGCAATAATCTGCAATGAATGGTGATTATTTTGAATAGCTCAATTATGGCTTCGTTTGGACGGCTTTCTTCTTGCTTTCTAAAACAGCTTTTTAGTTAAAAAAATTTTTGAATTTGAAAATTTCGTGCTAGAAAGTCGTTTTAAAAAGTAGTATGAAAGCTGTCCCAAACAAAGCCTATATCTTAAGCTTTTCTCTCTTACAAAATTCAAACCTTAGCAGGTAGGCTAACTGTAAGGGCTGATGTCTATAGCTTTGGGGTGGTTCTGCTAGAACTGCTTTCTGGACGCCGGGCTGTGGATAAGAACAAAGTAAGCACCGAGCAAATTCTTGTGGATTGGGCAAAGCCATTTCTTGGCGATAAGCGCAAGCTTTTCAGAATCATGGATACAAGATTGGAAGGCCAATATTCAAAGAAAGGTGCATTCACCATTGCGAACCTTGCCTTGCAGTGCATCAGTACTGATTCAAAGCAGCGGCCCCAGATGCGAGAAGTTCTTGCCGTGTTAGAGACTCTTCAAGATGCAAAAGATGGAACAAAATCTCTGCTGCAAATAGAGCCAAGGGATATTCCTGTTAAGTTGAAAATGAGGCCTCATGCTTCTCCTCAACGAAGAAGAACAACCAATTCAACATCATTGCCATCCCAAATATGATCGATCATATGTAAATTATGATTTTAAATGAATCCATTTCCAGCTAGCTGTTAGCAGCTTGTTTTCACTTATGGAAAATGCAGTTGTAATTTGCTGCATTATTTTTCTGAAGTGCTTATTTAATCAGAGAGTTGTTGGTTTTAAGTATGATTTGGTGTCTTGTGTAAAGCATTATAAATTTTAGGTGTATCTGCTATGAAATGCAGAGCTGTTAAAATGAGGCATTTCAAGTGCTGATGGTATGTTCCATGAAACTGGATGATTACGTGTGGAGAAGAGTAATATTTTTTAGCTGGAGTGGGTGAATTGTTGCTCAAGAAAATGTTTTATGAGATAAAGATTTCGTTGTGACAGGTTTTTTATTATTTTGATTTGCATATTATAATCATAAATTTTATTTGTTCACTATTTATTTGTTGTTTTCAAAAAAAAAAAAAAACATAGAAAATTTGCTTTTTACAATAAATTTAAAAATTTACTCCTCACTATAGTTTTATAAAGCAATAAGAAAGCTCTTATTCAGCTTGGTGCTATTTTATCCTAATCAGGCTGGCTTCCTTCATATTTTGGTTAAGGACAAACTGGCTGGGTTTCAATTTGTCAAAAAAGATAGCATACTCTGTACAAAATTGAACATATGTAAGGCTTTTGAATATGTCTTTAGAGACTCATTCATATTATGGAGCCATCCCTAGCATCTTTATTGGAAGGATTACAGCCTCGTTTGGTAGCAGAACTTCTATAAAATTTTGGCGATAAACAGTTGTTTCAAAACTCTTTTTCTAACGGATAAGCAAAAATAAAAAAAACTTAGATAATCGGTAAGATAATGGAGATTTGAAAAATACAATTTTACAAAAGTTATGCATCCAAACAACAACCGAAATTATTTTTCAGGTTTCGAATGGAAATGACACTAATTAAGTTGTCTCAAACAAAGCCTAAAGCTTGCATGTAAAATGTAAATGATTACATATATGCATTAATGAAACTCTTGAAGGTTTTTTAGCTCATTTTTTTATTTAAGATAAGGTTGCCCCCATCTTCTCTTTGTATTTTCTGCATTATTAAGGATATTCTCTTTAACCTATTTGAAAGCTCAATTATGATAAGGTTGCCCCCATCACCTCTAGTAATTCACTAGAATAAAAATGTCTAGCAAAAATAATTATAAATAATATACATTCATTTAGAGTTATAAATTTATTTCCTAAAATTTATGTACAATAAGTAGGAGTTCAATCAACAACGTCAATTTATCATTAAATAATTCTAGTCACAAAAGAATAAAACGAAAAATACATAAAACAAAAATTAAGCCTACAAATCCTAATATCAACCAGCCTCACTCTGTTTTGGGTCATTTTCCTGGCCTAAGAAGTTTGTTGAAGGATTCTTAGGCATGGCTGGTTAGTGTAAAAAGTTTGTGAAATGATTTCCTCGAATTTCTACACCTCTGAGAAGACTGACTCAGAAGTCAGTAACTTTCATCTAAAAATTTGAGTGTGAGGTTAGCTTTCATAATCTAAAGGGTTATTTAACTTCCGCTCCAATTCTTACTCTTCCATCCGGCACAGAAGGACTTTAGGTATTCAATGATGCTTTATTGAAGGGATTGGGATGTGTTTTGATGCAACATGATAAAGCTATAACATATGCTTACAGGCAATTGAAGCCACATGAATGAATTATTAGACACATGCCTATAAAAATAATCATAAATTCTTACACAAATTATTGGACCAAAGTTCTTCATTTTTAACAAGCTCTTCATACTGCTTTCATCTGCAACATCATTGGAGACCCAATATGCTCTCTCTACTCCAAGATATAAAAACTGAAAGCTATTGTTAAAGCAGAAAAAAATAGGTCTCTTCAACTGATCATATCACCTCCACCATTAGAGATCTTGAAAATCAGCAAGTTTCCTTCTTCAACCTTGCTCAACAATGACCATCTTATTCAGCTTGGTGCTATTTTATCCTAATCAGGCTGACTTCCTTCATATTTTGGTTAAGGACAAACTGGCTGGGTTTCAATTTGTCAAAAAAGATAGCATACTCTGTACAAAATTGAACATATGTAAGGCTTTTGAATGTTCTATAAATTTATTGGAAGGATTACGGAGCAAAAAAAGGTTCCTAGCATCTTTATTGGAAGGATTACGGCCTCGTTTGGTAGCAGAACTTCTATAAAATTTTGGCGATAAACTGTTGTTTCAAAACTGTCTTTTTCTAACGGATAAGTAAAAATTAAAAAAACTTAGAGAATCAGTAAGATAATGGAGATTTGAAAAACACAGTTTTACAAAAGTTATGCATGCAAACAACAACCAAAATTATTTTTCACGTTTCAAATGGAAATGACACTAATTAAGTTGTCTCAAACAAAGCCTAAAGCTTGCATGTAAAATTTAAACGATTACATATATGCATTAATGAAACTCTTGAAGGTTTTTTAGCTCATTTTTTATTTAAGATAAGGTTGCCCCCATCTTCTCTTTGTATTTTCTGCATTATTAAGGATATTCTCTTTAACCTATTTGAAAGCGCAATTATGATAAGGTTGCCCCCATCACCTCTAGTAATTCACTAGAATAAAAATGTCTAGCAAAAATAATTATAAATAATATACATTCATTTAGAGTTATAAATTTATTTCCTAAAATTTATGTACAATAAGTAGGAGTTCAATCAACAATGTCAATTTATCATTAAATAATTCTAGTCACAAAAGAATAAAACGAAAAATACATAAAACAAAAATTAAGCCTAAAAATCCTAATATCAACCAGCCTCACTCTGTTTTGGGTCATTTTCCTGGCCTAAGAAGTTTGTTGAAGGATTCTTAGGCATGGCTGGTTAGTGTAAGAAGTTTGTGAAATGATTTCCTCGAATTTCTACACCTCTGAGAAGACTGACTCAGAAGTCAGTAACTTTCATCTAAAAATTTTAGTGTGAGGCTAGCTTTCATAATCTAAATGGTTATTTAACTTCCGCTCCAATTCTTACTCTTCCATCCGGCACAGAAGGACTTTAGGTATTCAATGATGCTTTATTGAAGGGATTGAGATGTGTTTTGATGCAACATGCTAAAGCTATAACATATGCTTACAGGCAATTGAAGCCACATGAATGAATTATTAGACACATGATTTGTAACTTATTGTTGACATCTTTGGTTTAAAGATTTGAAGAAACTATTTGTGCCATGTTATGTGTGACAGTGTGAGATCTTTATCGGCCTTCAACCATATTTATCGAAAAAAGTATAGCATTTTTAAATCAAATTAAAAAAAAAAATATTAACAATCTTTGGAATCATACAAACAAATCTTAGTCAATAAAAGTGTGCCACAACAACTTAGGCTGTGCGCTTGTCTGTATAAGAATTTTTTTTTTATATATGATTAATTTTATGTGATTTTGATTAAGATGAAATTTAAAATAAATAAAATTATTTTAAGAATAATACAATATATTAAATTTTATATTGCATTTATCTTAAAATAAATTCAACTATTTTGATACTCATCCTAACAAAAAAATTTTGCTTGTCAGTAATATATTTGTTAAACTTATATATTTATAAGTTAATAAACAAAAAAAATAGTTATGATACGCAAGCATATCTCTCCAACATAACTACCACCTTTAAAGATGTCTCAATTATAAATGCCTTACATATAATTAGTGTTGTTATAAAAGCTCATTGTTTATTTTTTATCATTTTCGTTTGATTATTAGTTTTGTTTGATTATTCTTTATAAGCTTATTTATATAACACGCTAATTACCAAAAAAAAAAAAAAAAGTTGTCTCGAAGGGAGCTTGATTGTTTGTGCATGTATGTTATATATATAGACACACACACACACAATTTATATAAGTATGTGTATATATAATATATAAGTTTCAAGTATGAGGTGAATGAAGAAAACACTTATTGAAGATGATATAGATGTTGTATGCAAAATGATATAAATCGATAGGAACCAATTTTGTTTGAAACTAAAGGTGATGGACCACTTTTTATGGGGCATATTCTATAATTTTAATTTCAATGACCAAGCTACTAACATATTGTAATCTTGCTTTTTTCTCTTGAAAGATATAGTCATATTTATCCAACCTCGATCTCCCATGTGTTTATTACACACAAAATGATTTCAACTCTGAATTTTTGTGCAAATATGAATAGTGTATGACTAGTTTGTCACCGCCTTTTGCTAATGTAGGTAGTAATGTGGACATATCATATGCATAATTAGGTTATGTTATGGACAAACATGTTATGGACAAACATGTCATAGATAAGGGTCCCATTTTGGACAAGCCTTAAAAGAGTGAATGGGTAAGGTATTCTTTTTCTTAATGTACCTTGGGGCCAAAGGCTACAATCCAAGATATAGAGAATAAAAATATAACTCTTATCTTATAAGGGACAATGCTTAAAAGTACACCCAATTCAATGATCATTGATATAGTGGTCTCATGCTTGAGTTTATCTACAATTTTTTGAGAGTAAAAAAGAGTAAAATAAAATGTCATATGTATTTACGATGAAAAATAACATTTGCTTAAACATGAAAATATTAGGTAAATAAGTATGGATTTATCCATTGCACTTTAAAGAAGTGCTCATAGATCTTGCTAGCTAAGAAGTTAACAAACTCAAATATGTTTGAGATAAATATCCTAGAATCATATTGCATTTTGCACATTGTTTATTAGATTGAAATATCACTAACAACCTCAATCGTAGCACATCAGACATATAATAAAGAGATATTCGTTAGATTTTATTCTGATTTGAATCCAATGATAACCATATTAGATGTGAATATAAACTATGACATTGATTTGTCCCATAGGCTTGGCAGTGTTGTGAGCAAATGATCATTTATGTGTTGTACATTCTCTCAAAACATCCATTTAGAAGTTATCATCTTATATAATTATGTTACATCAAAAAAAAAATTCAAAGATAATTATTGATCTTCAGCTTCACAATAAATCTTATTTCAAGTAGGTTCACTACAGGAAAATCACGCTTTACTGGTGGACCCAATCCGCCTGAAATCACATAATTCTGTCGATAAACTACTTTTATGCTGTAACTTCACTCGAAGGTAAAAATGCGTGTCAGATAACTCTTTTTAGTCATTAACACCGGCGATTTATCCGTTAGAATTTCCAGAGGAAACTTACCGCTGAAAATATTCGCCATAATTTTATGCGGAAACTTACCAACAGAAATTTTGGCAGATTATTAGCCGTAGTTACCCACTGGTCTGTGTCCGACAGATTATCCCTCAGAATTTATGGTGGTAAGTTTCCATCAAAAATTCAATACATTTCATCGTATCTCCATTTAATAAGTAAACGTCGGCATTAGAGGCGGTGTTCGGCGACGTAGGCAAGCGTCAGCGACAGAACCGGCTGACGGAGCTAGAGAAAGGATGAGTGAAATGAGAAGAGCATGCTCGTGAAAAGGGAAATAAGGCTCTTTCTGATGGTATTTCCTACGGATTTTCCACCGGAACATTTTCTAGCTGAATTTTCGTCGGTAATATTACGTTGGGCTTAAGTAAGCTGACGGTATTTCCACAGGTAATTTCTGGCATATTTTTTGCCAGAAGTAACCGCCGGCTTTATAAATACTAACAGTTTGGCGTGCATGCCATTTATAGTGATCTTAATTGTAACATTGATTTGTGAGAGAGTGCATGCACATACATTAAATTTAATGTTACGTGTCTCTAATGCAAGTATGAATTAGTTGTAGCTTGGGACAAAAAAGTTAGTTGTTATAGCTTATGTTAAAAACTTTATATGCATAAAGGATAGTTAGTTGGATATACTAAAAATCTATATCCATTAGAAAATGAAGAGATGTTTCAAATGAAATAAAATGAGTTATTATGTTACCCTCATTGGTAAAGTCGAAGAGTGGCAGTCAAAATAAAAATAGAAAAACCTTTAAAGGGATAGAATGATGCTGTGCAATATACTTAAAGCTAATATTAAGTGAGAGGTCTTAACTAAGTAACTTTTAGGGCTAAGTGGTCATCGCCTTAATATTTTTATTATACTCTTCTTGTTGTTATAAGAATATTTGTAACTACTTTGATTTAATGTAATTCTTAAAGTAAAGCCATTGCTTGGCTATGCAATGTTGTAATGCCTGTCATTATAATGTGACATAGGTGCTAATTTGCATTATATTATATATATCTTATAATATGATGTGTTATAGCTGTTGTTATAGCTTTTTGATATATTATATTATATTATGCTATATTTGAAAGTTCATGAGGGTTGTGAAACCTTAGAGAACTAGTCACGAGGCTAACCAAGAGGGGGTGAATTTGATATTGAAAAAAAAATTATATCAAAAGAAAAATCCTTTTATAACTTGATGCGGAAGTGAATTACATTCACAATAAAAAGATAAATCAAAGTTTTCACCCATGTAGTTAATTGCAAGAAAAATGAATGTGAAAATAATAAAAGGAAAGAAATAAAATAAAAAAAAACACACCAAATTTATAGTGGTTCGGTCCAACATGACCTATGTCCACTCATCAGAGGCACCTTCTGATTATTACACTAAACCTTTAGTTACTCTCCTTTATCCCCCATAGTTAGGCGGAGAAGCCCTTACAAAATCACTTTCACCTTTCTTGATGTGACGGAGAAACCGGGTCCTTTGACACGAAAGAGATATTCTTCTTCTCAAAACTTCCCTCAAGACGAATCTTGAATCTAATAGTACTAAGGTGCAAGCTTGCTGGAGCAACCATGTGAAATCCCCTCCACACTCCCTTGAAACCCCCTCCAAGGATCTTTTCCCTCTCAAAATCCATCATTTTCTCTCTCACTTTCAAATTCTCTCTTCAAGTTTTTTTTTTTTCAAAAGAACGAAGACACAATGCTTCCAAAGACACTTACTAAGTGCCTTGAGAAAGCTTAAATAGAGGGCTTTAAATAATCCTAGAAATTCAATTATGCTATCAAAGATCGTCCAGTATCATCACAGGATCATCGAGTACGATGTACTTAAATAGAGGGCTTCAGAAAATCCTAAAAACTCAATTCTTGCATCAAATATTATCCTATATGATAGAAGGATCATTCAGTACAATGTATAAAATTTGACCTGATAGTTCTGTATGATATCCGAATAGTCCAGTGTGATCGATCAGTTCAAATTTATATAGATCGTCCAGTATGATATTGAGGATCGTCCTGGATGATTAGAAGAAAAATTATGATATTTCTTCTAGGAAGATCAATTCGTCCCATGTACCTTATGGGTCATCCAATACGATCTTCACTGATCGTTCTGAACGATCAGATTGAACAAATTAATTATAATTAGTCTCCTAATCACATAATCATTTTAGACATGATTGTTAAAGATCGTCCAATACGATATACATCATCTTGGACGATTAGAACAAAAAATAAAATTCAAAATATTGACTAAATTATAATTGGCAGCTATTTTTCATGATCATAACTGATCATCATGGATGATCTAAATCATCCAGTATGATTAGTCAGATGAGATGATCCTACAGTGTGATATAAATTGTATAGTACGATTAGTTCAAAATTTGAACTTTTGGTTTTGACTCAATCTCACTCACCCTGAGTGTGTGTGCGCATGATCACCAAGCAAGCATACTCTCTTATAGGACTTGACTCAAGAAATGAAAAAAAAAACACCTCTTTAAATATTACAAAAATCATTACAACATAACCTATTCTATCCAATCTGAGCATTGAATCTTCATTTGATGGTGCATGATGTTCTTGAAAAATTGGTATACACACAAACAAAAATATATTACAAATACAAGTAGACAACATGATGTGAGCTATAATATTTGTTATCATAAAAAATATAAACTTGTGAGCTCAAGTTGCAGCAATATTTATCTTATAATATGATGTATCATAGTTGTTTTGATAGCTTTTTGTTAAACTTTCACATGTTAAAGTTGTTGGAATATACTTTATTATATATATTTTTTGTAAGCCTTGTTATAACCTCATTCAAACCCTGTTCAAATAAGGTTCGAATGAGGTTAGAACTATGTTTGAACATTGTTCGAACATGGTTCAAATAATGTTAAAAAATTTGTCAAATATGATGCTAATATTGTTTAAGTTAGAGATGCTAATTCATGTTGATGGGATTTTGATCCAAATCCAACCCATTTAATTTATAGGTTAGAATATTTTCTGAAATACAACTAATATGGATAACATAATTTTTTGGGATCAACACAGTCAAATTAACCAAAGCATGACCCGTTTAATATGTTGATATGCATGTCTATTTTAACAATGTGTTGCACTTCGTAATATCTAAATCCAATAGTAATTAACCTAAATTCAAGTTGAATTTGAGTTATTATGATCAATATGAGCCAAACTCAAATAGTAATCAGGTCAATCTGAGCCTAAAATTTTCAAATCCTATTCATGTCAGCTCATGTCGGATTATTTATTTGCAGCTCTAATTTAAATTAGTATTATTCTTGATAGATCTTAAATAAATAATATGAGATCAAAAGAAAGATATTTCAATAAGAAAAAAAAAACTTTGGGCATATTTTTCATGCGAAGAAGATAAATTTGCAATTTGAGGTATGATAGTACTATAGTAGTAATATAAGTCAAATTTCCAAAGTGTCGCCGGCCGTGCATAGGATACATATATTCTAGTTGTACCGTTAAGGCGGTAACACGCACTCCGTAGTCCATTAGGGTTTCGTTGCTCCAGAGGCGGGGAAACGGCGATGACGACGAATATAGGATGCGACTGCGGCCGCAGCCAGGGTACCTTGTACTGTCCGGTGGAGGTATCATCAACCGAGAAGAATCTTCTTGCTGAACTACGTTACCAATTGAACTCTCTGATGATGCGTCTCGAGGTGGCTCCTTAAACCCTAACTCTCGATTGCGTCCCGGATCCGAAGATCCCTAAACTTTCATAAATTTTCAATCACCTAGCAATTTCTCTATACTAGGAATTACAGCGGGAGAATGATAGATTGATGTCCCGGATCTCAAAATGTCAATGCTCAGAGGTGTGTGCGCACAAGCCTTGCTGAGTTAATGTTTAGATTGTGCCCGTGTTTTTAAAATTTTGATTTTTAATATAAACATTCGTGCTCAAAAAGTAGAAATTACACAATGGTCGGTAAGGACGGATAGTATTGATGCTGAAAAATCACATAGTTTTCCAATTTAGACAAATTCTGATGTCCTGGCTTTCATAAGGATTTGGTTTACGTAGTTATACAGTTTAACAAACGTTTCTAATATCAACACACTGAGAATTATAGTTGGGTAGTTTATTGATTGATCAAAATTTTCTCAATTTGTTGGTTGGTAAGCTAAGTTGATAAAGGAACAGGGATTAGAAGATATGTATTGCTATAGATTGAGGCACATTCAAGGTTAACCCATCTCCATGGAAATTTGAGAAAGGAAGAAGGAGATAAGCATTCAAGAGAATGGTTTTACTGAGATTTTTCTGTATCCTCTCCATAGGACCGACCTTTCATATTTTGATTGCATTCCACTATTCTTTCCTACTACGAACAGAGAAGCTTCGTGTGGAAGAACTAACAACCCAAGGCAACACCCACATCACCCAATTTCCATCAAAGACTTAAAGTATAACAATAGAGGGTTTGCAGGAACTTATTGTAAATGCTTGAAACAGAGACATTCTAATCACTAATCTTAGGATTTGATGTATGAATATTCATCCCATGATAGAAATTGTGTCCACCAAGCAGGGTTATCCATAACATAACATCATAACTATTGTTTGATCCTTCATTTGATGAATTCTATTTGTTTGTTGGTTTCTGGATGGTGAGCAATGCAATAACATAGTTTTGTACCAAGTGTCCTAAAGATTAGTTCCAAAATCTATTCATGAATCCCTTGTCTTGATCTAGTAGATTTTTTTTGGGGATTCCATGGTGTTTGCAAACATACAACAACAACAATAACATCAAGCCTTTATTCCACTACGGGTCGGCTACATGAATCTTTTTTCTTCGTTGTATTATGTTAAGAGTCAAATTCTCATTTAAATTTAATAAAGAAAAGTTAATATCTAATATTTTCTAACCAAGTCTTTTTAGGTTTACTTCCACCTTTCTTAACATAGGCCAAATCTAATACATCTACTCTCCCAAAAGGGTCATCAGAAGGCTGCCGTTTTCATGACCAAACCATCTAAGGTGACTCTATCTAATCTTATCTATCACTGGAGCTGCTACAACCTTTTCACGGATATGCTCATTTTATATGTTTGCAAACATATTATATGAAATTGTTATCTTCATTGTTGTTACAAAATAGTGTGCTAAGTTGAAAAATTGTGCATACCTAATTACCTAGTGAGGCCATCAACAAGGACCATGACATCAGTTTTTCAACAAATGGGTGGTAGTTGAATGATGAAATCCATCCTGAGGTCTATCCTTGGATCTGATGGAGGTTGAAGTTCTCGAAGTAATCTTATTGGAATGAGGGGTTGGTACTTGATGATTTGGCTGTTCAAACTCTTTAACCTTATGTTTCATTAAAGGTCATTTCTAATATTTTCTAACCAAGTCTTTTTCGGTTTATATCTACCTTTCTTAATATAAGTAAAATCTAATACATCTACTTTCCTAACCGGGTCATCGGAAGGCCGCCCGTTTAATGTGACCAAGTCATCTAAGGCGACTACACTGGAGCTACTCCAAGCTTTTCACATATATGCTCATTTCATATCTTGTCTCTAAGAGTAGAGCCACTCATCCACCTAAGCATCCTCATCACTGCAACACTTAATATTATGCTTCACTTTTAATGGCCAACATTCTGCACCATAAAGCATTCAATGTAAGATGTCTAAATTGTCTTTTGTACTAACATGTTTGTTTAATGTCAGGCAAAAGAGGAAGAGCATGTTGCTTTTTCTTCTGCAAAATCTGAAGGAATTTGCCAAAGTATGCAACAAGATAGTGAATTGTCCATATCTGAAGCAAATATTAATACCTCGCACTCTAATGACCAGTCTGAAGTTTCAAGTAAGGAACACAAGGTATAGACAGTAACGAATTGATTATGTTTATTCCATTTATTATTTACAAAATATTCTAATAATAAATTATTTTTGCAACACATTAGCATAGTGTACATGTTGAAACGTTGTCAAATTGCCTGAGCGTCGAGCAAGCAAAACCACCAGGTATATATATACCTTCTATTATTTTATCTGTAGGCATATTGGGTTTCTTATATTCTTTATTGCAAGTCCCGATATATAACACCTAAATGCATGCAACCATCAATGAAAAAAAAAGAAGGTATATACCTTCTATTATTTTATCTGTAGGCATATTGGGTTTCTTATATTCTTCATTGCAAGTCCCGATATATAACACCTAAATGCATGCAACCATCAATGAAAAAAAAAAGAAAAAAAAAGAGAACTTACTTTTATGATCAAGAATTAAAAAAAAAGGATCATTTGGGAGATGAAGGGGGTGTAAATTGTTTTCCCAAAAATACGCCTCTTACATCCTTGATATTTTGATTACTTAGTTTCTACTGCTTACCCTCACTTGTCAAACAAAATGTCTTGCGATTATAAATATAATAGACTTAAGAACAAAGAAAATAGACTCTAGAAAAATGTCATGTAATTTAAACTATGTATATAATTTTTTTACACTTAATCATCCTGTTTAAAGGATTCATGTCTTTATTATTCGACAAGTTTTACGCTAGCTGTCGACTACCTAATGCAACCCTCTACTTTTCTTATCCAGGACTTGGAACTTGACAGTAGCATTGTTTAAAGGTTTTCGCTTGAGTAGATCTAAAATGGAATATATGGAGTGTAATTTTAGTAGTAATAGATCTAGTGAGGGGATTGTGACTTTGGACGATCAAGTCATTAATAAGAGCACACATTTTAGATATCTTGAATCTATTGTTCAGAGTGATGGTGAAATAGATGAGATATTATGTTAGCATATTCATGTTGGATGGTTGAAGTGGAGGAATGCAATCGGGCTTGTTGTGTGATAGAAAAGTACCCCCAAACTTTAGGGAAAATCTATAAAATGGTGGTGAGGCCTGCAATGCTTTATGGTGCCGAATGTTTGCCATTAAAAGAGAAGCATAATACTAAGTTAAGTATGGCAGAGATGAGGATGCTCAGGTGAATGAGTGGCTTTACTCTTAGAGATAGGATAGGAAATGAGCATATACGTGAAAGGTTGAAGTAGCTCCAGTAGAAGATAAGATTAGAGAGAGTCGCCTTAGATGTTTGGTCATAAACTGGCCCTTCCGATGACCTGGTTAGGAAAGTAGAGGTAGAGGTATTAGATTTGACTTATGTTACGAAAGGTAGAGGGCAGACCAAAAAGACTTGGTTAAAAAATATTAGGAATGATCTTTCTTTATTAGATTTAAATGAGAATTTTACTTTTAATAGGACACAATGGAGAAAAAGGATTCATGTAGCCGACCCCATGTAGTGGGATAAAGGCTTGATGTTGTTGTTGTTGTAATCATCCTGCTTTCAATAAAAGTGCTTAAAGGAAAATGTTAGGTAACTAATCCAAAACCACAAAAAGAAGTTCTGCCCATGCGACAGAGTGCATGGTTTTAAGAAATGGGAGTAATCTACCTTGTTTAACGCCTAAAACTCTATTTCATTTAATAAGAACAAAGTATTCTAGAGGGAGGAAGAGGAACTCTCTCTTGCTGCCAACTATCAGAACTCACTTTTAGATCTAGATATTCAATATGTCTAATCTCCCTTTGACATGACATATGGTGCCTCCTTTATAAATAAGGGAGAGTCTGTAATAAGAGGGGGCCCTCTTAAAGGTAACATTATTCAACTTGTCCACCCCTGCAAACTGTTGCGGAACGTGGATGAATTTTTCTTTAAGTAGTTTAATGGATTATTTTAATTTTAAATATTCTAATCTTGGGATTTTTTAGATTTTTGGATTTTTGTGGGTATTTGGACGAAATTTGAAATATTTGGAATTACCCATCTAGCTGAGATCTTCATTTAACACGGCCATCATCGAGGTGTTTGGGTTTAGTTTCATTTCTAGATTGAACCTTATCGACTCTGTCTGGCTACCAACAGAGGATCGAGTTTCATAGGCTTTATGCTTTTATAAGTGAATTTTCTTGATTGTAGGCCTTGAAGGCCTAATATGGATTTATTAAGATAAATGTATCGGTCATCACCACAGTATATTTATTTGATGGTTCGAACCCTGTCGACTCCTATTGATCCGCATAGAAGGATCGGATTCGAACTTGAATTCACTTATTGACCCGCGAAGCATTCCTAGACGTCACATGTGTACCAATAACATGCTCATCGAGGCCCATACGGGTGTTTGGGTGCATTTTATGGTTATTTGCTGAACCTTATCGACTCCTACTTACATGCTTAGGAGGATTAGGTTCAGATTTAGTGACGGTCGTGATTATATTTACCCCATTAGTGTACCTATGTGCATACATATTATAGTGCATGTGCGGGGGTACTTTGAAATATTTGTAAACGCCTTCTGTCTGCTTGCATAGATGTTGCGGATCCGGTGGCTTGTTGTAGCAGCTTATAGATTAAGTTATTTGCTGCTTTGTACAGGTAGACTATCGTGCACTACATGTTGCTTTTTGTAGGTGGATCATAGTGCACAAATGAATCTTCTGCTTTGTGTTTGTCGATGCTTGTATTCATTGTAGTTCTTTCATATTTGCTTGCAGATAATATACTGTACAACGAGTTTCCCAAAATGACTCGTAAGAGCTTTCATTTATTGTAGTCCTTTGGCATTTATTCATAGATAATATGTAATATTCGTAGTGGGGCTCCAAGAGAAACTCGTGGGAGCTTGTATCTGTCGTATTCTTCATGCACTTTGTTGTGATATTTGGCTCATGTAGTACATCCGCCACTGCTACAAGTAGGCAGGTAGATGTATTCCTTTACAGATTGAAATTGAGTTCAGGATATTGCATTTACTGAAGTCTTTCTGCATCTACCCATAAGTGGCATGTGGCACGTACATCTATCTTTGTAGAGAGCTTGTATGTATTGTAGATCTTTATTCTTACTTGCAAGTAACATGTGTAACGTGCATTGTATACTCTTTGTTGTCATTTGCATGATACTTGCATTCATCTTATGCTGTAATGTGCATATTTGCTTATGGCTTTGTTATTTGCAAAAGAGTTAATGTACCCATCTGCGCACTGATGTTGACTTCCAGATGGATTGCATTCATTGTATATTCTCTCTATACACTTTGGCTAATAGATAGTTGTGTTCATTTGCAAGCTATATGATGTTAAGTGTAAGACATCATCATATTCATAACATGCCTTTCATTTTCAATGCATATTAACCTTCAACATTTGTAGGGGGGTGGTAGCCTTTATTTGCTAATTGATCGAATCCACTTGTAGGGATGTTGTAGCATGCTATTGATTATTCATCATGTCACTTGATAGTCATTGCAATTACCCCAAATCACCTACTTGCATGAGATCTCATTACCACTTATGAGTGATTTATATTTTCAAGAATTTAGCATGTTAACTTGCAAGCGGATGATTTTGGTATGTATGAAAAGGCCCGTATTCATTATGCTTTATTGCCTTGGATTATGAACAATACATCGTATGCATCACATATATATCAAGTTAGCATATTCATTGCACATTGGTCCTTGCTTGCATGTTTAATGATATTGATTGGCAAGTTATAATCTTTATTATGTTTCATGCTATTCATTCGATGTTCAATTTCTTGTTCAAGTCCAAGTCCAAGTTATGTCTATTTGATATTCAAATCAAGTCCTTTGTAGTCAATTTTGCAAGTCCAAGTTCATATTCAAATCCTTGTAGTCTTGTTGAGTTCAAGTCCAAGCATAATCCTTTGTTTTATTATTCAAGCTCAAGTTCAAATCAAAGTTCCATATAGTCCAACTCAAGTATTTGCTTGAGTTCAAATGTCCAAGATCATGTTCATTTCAATTAGATTTGGGTTCATTTGAGGTTGAATTCATTTGGATTTTATTGTATCAAAGTTAACAAGTCCGAGTCTACTGTTGTTCTTTTGAGTTAAATCAAGTCCAGGTACGATCTCGTGTTCACCCAAAAGTTCGGCAGCCTCATGGCGTCTCCCCCGTTTAGGGAAAAACTACGAGAAACTATGCCTTCCCAACATACGCAATGAAGGCATGTATGATAGGTGTCCTCGGATGAGGACACCGCGGCCATGATATTTATTCCCACCACGCGCAATAAAGGCGTGTATGGGGTCTTTGACGATACCTGTTTAAAAAGACAGTTTGCTTTCCCCTCGCTTGAGGGTACTTATGAATAACTCCGTTTCGCCTTAGGCGTCGCACCAGGGTCCCATCCCACCACACGCAACAAAGTCATGTATAGGCGATTTTCTGGTGCGTCACAAACTTTGAAATGTGGCTTTTAGGTGATTACCCGCCTCGCCGTAGGCGTCGCACTGGGGTCCCATCCCACCACGCGCAGTAAAGGCGTGTATAGGCGGTTTTCCGGTGTGCCGCGAACTCCGAAGGCGAGAATCTAAGTTTTAGAGAATACATACCTTCGCGGGGTTGTTGGCATGTGGATCGAGGTAAGAGGAGGGTTTCTTTTTCTATTTACCATTAATAATTATTAACCACAAATAACCATAATTAATTATAATTAATGATGATTAATTATAATTAATAGTAATTAATTATAGATAATTGATTAATTAATTATAATTAATTAATACTAATTAATTATAGATAATTGATTAATTAATTATAATTAATTAATACTAATTAATTATAATTTAAAATAATTAGCTATAAATAATTACTCAGAATTAATTAACTAATTATAATTAATAATCAATTAATACTAATCTCAAGCATACAAGAAGAAATAAAGACTAAATTTCCCTCAGGGCCCCAACATGACTCAACTCAACATAAGGGTACAATAGGAAGACATAAAAATAAAATGCATAAACAACTAGAAATATAAGCTCTGAATCGTGGCCATCGATCTGCGATGCTTCCAGCGATACACATGTTTGAACCTTGGATCGATGTCCTCATCAATAGCATATACTCTTGAATTAAAATTTGCATTACTTACATTCTTGAAGAGCTGACTCCTCAAATCCTCTACCTTATACCCTTGTTCAATTGTAAGTAATCTGCATTCATCTCTTTTACATTCCATAAATTCCACAATCTATTGCTCAATTAATTTTTCATAACGTCAACTTTTTTTGAATATTATATATTACCTCAAAATCTCCCTTCTGCATGTACCAGGTAATTCCTACATACAATTGATGTACTTGCTTTAGAAGTTTTTATTGCCTTTTAGAAATTTAAAAGACAACTATGAATATACCAAAATGCTTAGCTTCTTTCTTTTCCTTCAATTCTCAATTATTCTCTTTAACTGGAATTTCTTCACTGATTCCACTCTCAATTACTACTGTAGTAATCAATTGATCTTAGTAATACACCCAAATAATTCCTTGCTAATCTTGCTAAAATTAATTACAAGTTTACTTACTCAAATCTGTATTATTCTCTGATCTTCTATTTGCATTTAACATTCTTCCTTTTATTTCCTGCACTAGACCTATCCTTACTGCACCGCACTATGCTGAAATTCCTTCACAGCAATGTGCCAAACACCTCTTCACAACGGTGCGGCTCCCTCCAGCAATTCACTGTACTGCTCTTGTCTACAGTGTCCAAAAACACTGTGCCGAAACCCGCAGCAGTGCACTGTGCCAAAACTCTTTGTAGAGCACTGTGCCGAACTCTTCAACAGTCCCTCACCCGCTCTTTTCCTCTGTTGGCTTGTGTGACGTTCGAACATAATAGGGAATAGATGAGAGGCCCACACAAATAACTGCTCTCATATCCCTATGGAAGCATCTAATTAGGAATTAATTAGATATTTAATTTAATTGAGCTTCTTTCTTAAAATAATTGACCATAATTACTAAACAGTAATTCAACTATTAATACTAATTCAATAGTAATTTCACATTAAACTTTTTAGAATAAATTTTGAGATAAATTTAAAATAATTTTTAAATTTCATACCTGAAAATTTTGGGTTTTACATTAAGCGCTATGCGACGCATAATGTTTGTCTTTTGCTTCAATGCACAAAGCTTAAATTGAAGCAACACGTTATTAAGTAACGCGTTAATGAGTTGTTTTTCATATATAAATATATTATGTAAATATTATAGTTATTTGATCAACCAAACTTAAACCCTTCAGGAAGCAAATTTTCAACAAATATAATGGCACATTCAATAGTAGACATTTCTAGCTATTAGGAAGCCAAAAAAGAATAAAATACATAAATAATGAAGTGATTCAAAAATATAAGTAAAATTAAGAATATACTCATGAGATTGAGTGACTAACTAGAGACTGAGAGACAGAGATAATGTGAAGAGAGTGTGTGTGAAGATGAGGTGAAGAGAATCATTCTTTGTAAGAAGCTTCCAAGGGAGACACTATTAGTGCCAACAATAAGAAATAGTTAAAAACATATAAGAATTGGTGGGGTAGTTAGCCTAAAATGAAGAACACTAAGAAACGACTAGCTATAGTGGTAGGGAATGGAGAACCAATGAGCAAAGATCTTATCAGTATGAGAAATAACGAGGAAAAGCAAATAATAATGCCTAGTTATTGTGGTAGTTGTTGACAAACCTATAAAATCTAATTCCGGATTTGCTCTTAGCAGGAGCTTAGTGCACAACACTATAAAAAGATGCAACAAAATGGCATGGCATGCCTACTTTCTTTTGAACTTGCGCTTCACTGGCAAGTGATGCACACGGTCAGAGTAGTGCATCGTTTCACTTTTTTTTAAGCGTACTATGAAGCATTCTTTTAGCAACATTAGATATTGTGATTAGTAATGTTTAAAATCAAGTTTAAAAAGACATGAAATAATGATGGGTGTAATAAGAATTCGTAATGCTACTGTATAGAGTGCTGAATTGAAAGATTAATGTGCATGTGATCCTACCCTTATAAAATAGTCCACATAGTTCACTACTAAGATCAAATGATCCTTTTACAACAATTATGTCATTTATTTTTTTATTGAGTGACAAATGTGTTTGACTGTGAAATAAGTTGTAGAATGATACATAATCGTTTTGTATTAAAAATTTGTATTTTCTTGAAATGCAGTCAATTCTTTATCATTTTCCAATTGATGTGCCCATACACAAGTATAAGTTCAAGTTGCAATGAATATACTCGTATTCTTATGACTTTCCATAATCACAATATGATGGGGACATCAGAGCATGGAAAGTATATCAGAGGCGTAGCTGCCGATCTACTGCCACGATCGAGTCTATGTATTTTTGAGATATTTCATGTATTTATTTTTTGATTATGTTATTTATCTTTTATTATTTATGTTGTATTTGTTTTTCCCGTTTTACCCTTTTCTTAAGGAAGGTCGTATGTAAGCCCTAGGGGCATTGTTGTCTTTTTATTTTGAGTCATTTGTACGAGGCTATTTATAGCCCCTATGTTTCTCTTTGGAGTTTTAATGAATGAATTAATGATTGATAAAATTTTTCCCTTGCTATATTTCTTTGTGAGTTCTTGAGAATGTTTGAGAGATGAATTCCTATGAGAGGGAATTTGGATCACCCACCAACCTTGGAGACGACTGGGTTCATGGTTTTCTTCGTTATCTATTTTCTTTCTCTTCATCACCTAACCCCACCTCACCCCAAGCCGCCGACCACCTTCATCCCCACCATCCCTCCACCGACAACTCCCTACAACCCATATAGCCGCCTACCCTATCTCACCTCCCCATCTTCCCTCCACAAATTCCACTCCCCCTTGAATACTTTGCATAAGCAATCACTCCTAAGTTAGGAAAGTTTAAATTAAAAATTCAAAATTATTTGAATTTGAATACTTTCCTAATTTAAGAAGGCTATTTTAGGAAAGTTTCCAAATCCTTGCTTATTTAGTTTAAATTAAATTAGGATGACATATTTCATCCTTAATTTAATCCCTTAATATAAGGAAGCATTGAAAGCTTCCTAAATTCCCTCCCTTAGCTATCAAGCCGCCGGCCCCCCACCTCTATATTTTCTTGGACTTATTTCCTAAAACCTAATCTCCCCCTTTGGAATTAATTCAAACATTCAAAGCTCCCTTGGCCGAAATTTTCTAAGCCCCATATCTCCTTATTTCTTCCCAAAATCAAATATTGGGATTTGGAAATAAATCCCCTTGCCCCTCTCTTCTTGCCGACACCCATATCCCCCCCTTCTCTCTTTAATTAATTCCAACCTAAGGGATTAATTGGAGGATTAATTGAAACAATTTCTCTCCACTACGATTTGCCCAAAATCTGAACCTAGTTTCCCCAAATCACTTCCCCTTGGCCGGCCACCCTCTCTTGCCACTTCCTACTTGGATTCTTGAAAGAAACCTCTCTCTTTCAAAGGGAAACGGCAAGGACAGAGAAGGATCATTACCTTCAACACTTCAATACTTGGGAGAGACTTCTTCCTCTCTAGTTGAACCTTCAAGGGAAGCTACAACGAACTTCTTCAACATCTCGCCTACTTGTTTCCGGGTTTTGTCAAAGGTGAACCTCTTCCCCTTTTCAATTACCTTCCTAATCCCCTAATCTTGTAGGTGATGACGAATCACAGGGAGCCGTGCTTCACGTTATGCCTAAGCTTAGTAAACGTAGGATTGAGCGTGTTTTCTATGCTTCTAATCTTATTGTTAGATTAGAGATTTTGTTGAAAGCTATTTACTTCGCATGTTGTTGAATTTCTAACTTGTTTTGATAATTCAAGCGTTTGGCAAGTGGCTTAGCCTAAACGTAGGCACCCCTCTCTTGTTTTCTATTGTGGTTTCGATTGCTAATAGTTTTCAATCGTATTTGCTTATTCAAGAAATCGTGCAAGTTCTTATCACATCCATTTTAAGCATTGTAGTCCTGCATCACAATATTAATGTTTGTTATAGAAATTTTTAGTAAAGAAACTATAGGTTAAACAGAAGTCTTGTTAGACGTGCAATATAATTTTTTCTATTGATAGAAAAAAAAAAATGTTTTTTCTCTTCTCAAATCATATGGTATATTCATTTTATTTTGCCTCTTTAGTTAACTCTTAATGGCTGTTGTACGTTTAATGATTGATGTTTTTATAACAAATATGTTGTAGTCTTGTATTTTTTGTGTTAGAAAACTATAAATTTGAGGGTACATATATATATATATATATATATATATATATATATGAGTTGCTGCATACACCTCTATGGTATTAAGGCAATAAAAAAAATGCTTGAAAAGATGTGATGGTGCTATACTGCTTTTTATAGAAGCTTTGAGGTTATCAATGGGATTGGTCTTCTTTTTTGAGAAGCAGAATACAAAGTGCATAATTTCTTTTGGAGGATTAAGAGCATAATACAAGCTTAAAAAAGTACGTTTGAAGTATTTTGACAGCAAGTCAGCAACTTTAAATAAAATAGGAGTATGTTAAGATGCTATTAGTTTATCATGGGATAGGCATGCATACTTGAGATTATCATGCAAAAAGGCAGTGCTCTACTCATCATAGGAGAATTTGAGAAGTACATACCTAGCATAGCTATTATTAAGAGTATGCTGGATATTTTTAAATTCTTATAATAAGATTGATGGAGTTCATTGATCAAGAAACAAGGATGGGGAAAGTTGCTGTTTACTAGCTGAAATTTTCTTAAAGTTGGAATGTCCTACTAAATTATACCCTTGCTATACCAGAAACTATTTCGTTTAGACATATACTAATCTTTTCATTCTCTCTTTTCCTTTGAACTATCTTTACAAATTCTGAAAGCTTGTATATTATTTCTATGATGTTTGTTTTCCAGTTTCTCTTTTCATCTCATATTTTTCTAGTCTTGAATTCCTTTTTCTCCCAATCAGGTCAATATATTGCCACTCATGAGTATGCCAGGAGATATGTTGCTCTGAAAATCACCTATTTTGGCCAAAGGTTATTATATGATACTTGTTTTATTGGATTTGTGTCTTTTGATGACTTTATTATAGCATACAATTGAACCCATAATGTTTGAGGGCTATTACGCTTTTTCTTAAACATTCACGTGACCAGAGGTTAAAGAGTTTTCTTTATAAGCTATTTGTTTGTAGGATGCCTTGCTGTGCATTCACTAAAAAAATTTGGGCTTGAAATGCATCTCTAGAAGAAAACGATTAAAAAATTATTCTTACATGGCTGCAGTTTGGTGAGGTTGGGGTTGGGATTGAGGGTGGAATGGGATTGGGCAGGGGGTTGAAATGTGGTGTGGGGGTACTTACAGAGGGGACTTGAATTTTATTAAGAGATGTTTGTTTTGGTGGTGTTTTATTTAGATATCGATTTTATCCAAATCAATGACTCTCTTGATGTTTTTAAATGCATTAGTATAAAAAAAGCCCACTTTGTTTTTCTGCTTTACTTTACATTGTATGTCATTCATTTGTGTTCTTGTTCATGCTCGCCATTCTTGTTGTTTGCTCATAGGGGAATGGATTTTACCTTTTCCACTTTGAATTATTAGGGTTTAATTTGCAAGTATATGAGGCCATCAATAGCTGAAATATATTATGACCATTCAGGGCAGAAGTTCTAAAAATGCCTTCAGTAAGCGTGATCTGTAGATTTTCTGTGTTTATGTATGCGTGCATGTGTACATGAGTATGCAACCATGTGTGATGTGTCCATGTCTCTCACATGTTCGCCATAATTGATGTAGATTTCATGGTTTTGCTTCAGAGGCACAAATGGAACCGACTGTTGAGGTACTTAAAGAAGTCGATCTTTTTTATTTGTTAATTGCATTCTAATCGAATGTTAAAATTGTGCATTTTTCATTTTCTTAATTGGTATGCCAATAAGTGCATGAATAATGTTTTTTTGCAAATCTATTAAAGGTTATTGTGGAAATCTCTTTATGTATGCACTTGTAATTTTCATGTCAACGACCCTCTCCATTATTGGCATTTCTTCACTTGCCATCAGTGCTTATGCTGGTTCTTTCAAGTGCAATGCGCAAAGCATAGTGTACAAATAAGGTTTTTGGTTTAAGGTGCAAAGAGCCAAGAATGTCACTTTGTTTAAATCAATTGATTGAATTTAAAAATTTAGATACCTACTTTAGATATTTATATTGGTTTTGCTAAATTCATACTACCTCCAATAAAATTGACCTTTAAGCCAGATTCAAAATTTAATGCATTATTATTTTAAATCAGCTTTTTTAATGAAAAAATAGAACTAACTTGAAGTCATCAAAGAAAATTACCAATGAGGTGTATTACAGTGCTGTGAAGTAGTTTACATTATGAATAAACAAATCAAAGATATTGTAGAAATTAATGAGCATGATATAAACTTCTTATCAAACATCGCTCATGTAGTAGGTCTTTAGGTCTAGGATTTCCTTGTACAAATTTAGGATGGATGAGCAAAATCACATACATGAAATCAGGTTCACTATTCAGTATTCACTAACTTTTAATTTAGATATATAACTCGCCTTTTTTAATATAAATAAAGAAATGCATAGAATTTACTTCAAACAATAATTCAAAGATTGCCTAAATGAAAAATTTTGCAAGAAGTTTAAAATTAACAAAACCGTATGATGATCACGATTCGCATTGCAATCACACATGATGATCAAGATTAGTCTCACTGTTTGTTTCTTTTAACACCAAACAGGAGATGCATGTGATGATGACATCTTGTGGGTTTGTAAAAACGATTGGCTTTGCTGCTATTCTTCCGAGCAGCTCTATCAATGAAGGGGGAATCCTTGTGTCCCCAGATGTCACCAGGTTTCCTTGGGGCTCATCCTCAAGGGTTAACTGAACAATGAAGTTCTCCAATACTCGTGCTTTAATAGTTGATCGGAAAATATATTCAATATTTTACTTAATTAGTTTAATAAGCCATTTGTTGTGCTGCTCTGTAAGCTCAAGCTTTTGTAAAAACTTGTTGGATGGGTGGCCATTAACTACGCTGAGTGGACGGGACTTGGAAGTATGGCCTCAAGCGTTTGTAAAAACACATGGTGATTGCTTTAAAACATATATGATTTTTTGAGTTTGTAGACATTATTTTTGTTGTTACTAGTCTCAAACCCAGGTGGTATAATCATATGAACTTCATCACACTATCCTTATTTAGGAAGGCATTTTTGTCACATTCAGTTGTAAAGTTTCTTGATAATCAATCCAATATGTTTGTGAAAACCTTTCAACTAGTTTAGGCTTATTCCTTTTAATGCCCCCATCAACCTTATATTTGATATTGAAAATTCATTTGCACCAAACAAATTTCATTCCCTTTAGCAGGGCAGAGAGTTTTCATGTGTCATTTTTTTCCAATGCTCGTGTTTCTTAATGAACATCTCTTTATCTGAGTACTTTTAATGCTTTATAAATGTCACTGGGGGATGGCCATGCTCAAAAGATTTGTTATAAATGCATGTAATTGAGGAGATAAATTTGCATAGAAAATATGCTCATTGATTGGATGTTTGATGCTAGTCCTTGTACCATGCCTGTGAGCAATCAGGATGTTAAGGTCATGTTAGACCGGTCCATAGAGGACCGGTCCAGCCGGCCCAATCATGCAATCAGGATGTTAAGGTCATGTTAGACCGGTCCATAGAGGATCGGTCCAGCCGGCCCAATCCATTGGGCCGGCTCTGTTCGTTTACGGGACAAGAAAGCCGGCGGAAACAGCAGGGAGCCAGAAACAGCAGGGAGCCGGAAACAGGGTGGGGTCCACTTGTTTTTCAAATTGAATCTTGGAGCCAAAAGAAGTGGAAGCAAGGCAATTAGGTCCTTTCATGTTATTTTTGAATTGTATGCATTAAGTAGGGAGAAAAGGATAGATTAGGGTTATGTGAAATTTGCTTTGAGTTTTCTTGTTCTTCTTTGGTGGCTAGGGCTCTAGATCGAATTCTAGAGATTGGGAGAGTGCGATCCTCCTCTCGAATAGAGGATCCTTGTATCTTTGCTATTTTCCTTGCATCTACTAGAAAAATACAAGTCTTTTCTCCAAATTTCTCTCAGTTTTTCCCTGCTTTTCTATTGTTTTGGCTGTTTTCCTGCTGTGGACAGCAGCTTGCTTTGAGATTTGTTGTAAAAGTGAGTAGGTCAAGTATTTCCTATCAAATTAGTATCAGAGCAAGTCTTGGGACCAATCGTGGGCTGTTTTTGTCCGATTTCAGCGGCTGAAATTGCCACCGGCGAAGGAGAAATTTGCTGAATTTTTTTTTCAAATCCTGAGATCTTCTCCTAATTTGCAAGCCATAGGAGATGGCGGCTAAGAAGGTGGATGCTTTGGAGGAGAGAATTGAAGGAGAAATAAATCAAATCAAGGAGACCGTGGAGGAACGAATGTCTTCCATGGAGGGGCAAGTGGCCGATCTACGGGATATGATGAAGAAGATGTTGGAGTTTCAAACCCAATCGGCGGCGTCTGATGCAAAAGGGCCAGCAGCTGTGTTCATTTAATATCAGCTTGTTCAAGTTTGGTTCATGTTTGTTCGAGCTTTAGCGTTTGTGTTCATGTTTGGTTCATTTAAATTAATGAGTGTTCATGTTTGGTTCATGTTCAGTTCATGTTCGTTCGTTTAGTGTTTATCGAGCTTGTTTGCGAACATATTTAACGAATTTTTTCTAACTATCAAACAAGCACGTTCATGAACGTATCTATGAACAAATACATTTATAATAAAAGCAATTGTCTATGTAACAAAGGAAATGATTATTTATATTTGTTAATTTTGTAATCAAATATTAATTATTTTTATTGAGCTTATTCACGAGTTCAAAATCGAACATGAATCGAGCTTTTATTGAGCTTCTTATCGAGCTTAATGTCGAGCTTGTTCACGAACTTCAAATGATGTTGTTCGCGAACATAAATGAGCTGAACGCATTAGCGTTCAAGTTTGTTTATTTAAGAATAGAGTATTTAAAATATTGTTCAAGTTTGTTTGTTTAGTTAATTAAACGAACGCAAATGAGCTTTAATCGAACCGAACAACGAGTAGCTCGCCGAACGTTTGGTTCGCTTGCAGCCCTAATCAGAAGGTGAGAAAATTGAAAATGCCCATTTTCGAAGGGGAGGATGCCTATGGGTGGATCTATAAAGTGGAGAGGTACTTTGCGGTTAACGGCTTGACGGAGGAGGAGAAGTTATCGGCAGCGGGCTTGTGTCTGGAAGGGAAGGCCCTCTCTTGGTACCAGTGGAGAGATCAGAGGAGACCTATACGGAGCTGGGGAGAATTCAAGGACAGTTTGTTAGAGCGTTTCCAAACCGACCGGGGAGGAGACTTCTACGGCAGTTCTTTGCCCTAGTACAGGAGGGGTCTGTGGAAGGCTACCGAGAGAGGTTTGAGCATTTGGCCAGCAGGGTAGAGCGCTTGTGCGAGACAGTGTTGGAGGGGAATTTTATGAAGGAGTTAAAGGCTGAGGTGCGAGCAGCGGTGAAGGTCCTGATGCCCAGGGACCTGGGGGAGGCCATGAAGCTTGCACAGTTGGTCGAAAATCAAAAGAACCTGGAGAAGGGAGCTAGGAGTAGTAGTAGCTCAGGAGGCACTTACAGGTGGACGACTACCCAACTAGCCCTCAAGGGAGCGTCCCCAGGAGGGATGAAAGAAACGAAGGAAAAAGCCACAGGAGGAGGAAGCGGGGGGCAGTTCAAGAGACTCACTAAGAAGGAAATGCAGGAGAAAAGAACAAAAGGGCTGTGCTTCTGATGCGTTGAAAAATACATGCCAGGGCACAAGTGCAAGGATCAAACTTTTCTTATCCTCGTTTATGAAGACGAGGAAGACGAAGAGGGAGAGGGAAGCGATTCTGAGGTGGAGGAAAAGATGCATCTGGATGTGGCAGAAGTCTCTCTCAACTCCGTAGTGGGATTCACTCCGAGTCACACTATGAAAGTAAAGGGAGAGATAGTTGACCATGGAGTCGTGGTGTTGATTGATAGTGGGGCAACCCACAATTTCATTTCCACCCAGATGTGGAGCTGTTGAGGATGAAGTTAGAAGATATTGGAGGCTATGGGGTGATGATGGGCATAGGAAAGGTAGAAATGGGAAGAGGAGTCTGCAGGGGGGTGGTGCTGAAGATCCAAGGCATACAAGTGAAGGAAGACTTCCTTCCCCTAGAATTGGGGAGTATGGATGTCATCCTAGGGATGAAGTGGTTGCAGACATTGGGGGAAACCAAAGTGAATTGGGGCACTCTGCGGATGGAGTTGATAAATGGTGGAAGGAAGAGGGTGATTCAAGGGGATGCAGGGCTGACCAAGGCAGGGGTTTCTCTTAAATCCCTAATCAAAACAATTCAGGAGGAGGGGGAAGGCTACTTGGTGGAATTACACCGATTAGAGGGAGTGAGTGTGGAGGATGGGGGAGACATACCCCTCTCTGTGCAGCCTTTGATCCAGGAGTTCGAGGAGGTATTTCAACCACCTCTAGGGTTGCCACCACCCAAGGAGCAGGAGCATGCCATCACCTTAAGAGAGGGAGTGTCACCTGTCAGCGTACGACCTTATCGTTACCCTCAGTTTCAGAAGGATGAAATAGAAAAGTTGATCAGATAAATGCTGGAAGCAGGGATTATCAGGCCTAGCACTAGCCCGTTCTCTAGTCCTGTTCTATTGGTGAAGAAAAAAGATGGCAGCTGGCGTTTCTGTGTAGACTACCGCGCACTCAACAAGGAAACTGTACCTGATAAGTTTCTCATACCAGTGATTGATGAGCTCCTAGATGAGT